GAAGGATAGGTAAGCACGCTCCACAGACAGGAACAGTCCACCACTGGACCATTTTCCGGAGGATTATTGAGCATGCTCCATAGACAGGAACAGTCCACCGCTAGACCATTTTCCGGAGGATTATTGAGCACGCTCCATAGACAGGAACAGTCCACCACTTGACCATATTCTGGAAGATTGGTGAGCACACTCCACAGACAGGAACAGTCCACCACTGGACCATTTTCCGAAGGATTGGTGAGCGTTGTTTTCCGGAGGATTGGAAAGCACGGTTTTCTGGAGGATTGCTGAGTCAGGTGAGTAAGAGCTTTGTCCTCATCCCTAGAAAAAATGAGCAGCTAATACATGCAATGGGGCACAACCCCACTGCATGGTTTAAAAAAAAAATCTTTCTGGAGTTCTGCTTTAAGATATACTTAGCCCTTATGTTAGTAAAAAGATACTTCAGCCCCCTCTTTAGTGGGTCCTCCCTCCCTTCAGTGCTGTCATTCTAGTGCATGTGCAGATGTGCTCAAGGGATCTGCCTGGGCTTTGGATACTGGCAGAGCCCTTTGGTACATCTGCACGTGTGCAGGAGATTTCGAATGCATATATAAAGGTGCTTTGGCAGTGGACTGTTCCTTTGGCATCCTTGCATCCAGGTCTTGATAACATCATGACCAGGGGCGGACTGACCATTTGGAAACTCAGGCACTGCCCGAGGGCCCGGGGTCATTAGGGGGCCCCATGAGATGCCCCTGGTACTTTTTTCATAGGTTTTTTTTGTGTTTGGGCAAGGACACAGGGGCACCATGATCCTCTATTGCCCGGGAGCCCCATGAGTTGTCAGTCCACCCCTGCCTGGTACCTTTTTCATAGGTTTTTTTGAGTTTGGGCAAGAACACAGGGGCCCCATGATCCCCTATTTCCTGAGAGCCCCATGAGTTGTCAGTTCGCCCCTGATCATGACATCCTGCAACCACTGAAGCACAGGACAGAAGAGGCTAAGGGCACCTGTCCTACAGCCTGGAGAAAGCCTGCGGGAGTGGAGGATCAGATTGCTTTTCCTGGTCCCCCTAGATCTAATTCAATGTTTACCCCAAAGGGCAGCCCACTGCAAAGGAGCATTTTCCTTTCCCTGGAGATGGGCTTTAAAATGCAGCATGTTTGCATTTTTTTTTTACACAATGCAACTCACCGCACCACATGTCATCACAAGGGAACATTTTTTCTTTCCCTTGAGTTCAGCTTTAAGGCCTCAAACACATGGCTGCCTAGGGCCATAAGACATCAAATTCAGGCGTAATACCCCACCTGGGAGCCAGAGTTGCTGTGTATATGCGTGTACAGATGTATGACCCTGGATGGAGACTTTCTGCGTACAGGGTCATACATCCATATGCATGTGCATGTTTATGCAACTGATGGTGTATAATTGTATTAGCCGTTTATGCACGCAGCACCCATGGATCCCATGCTGGGAAATATACCCGAATTTTACACAATGCGGCTCCAGGAGGCCATATGCACATTTATGCAGCTCACCGCATCTCGTCAAAGCTTATAATGTGCACAGGCCACATAGATACCAATTGTTTTCTATGTGTCTTGCATTGATCTATGCAGTTCAATGCATATGATGAGAATGAGCCCCAAACTCACAGTCAACCAATAGAATGAAGTGCTCTTATATGGAAATTGAATTGAAAAATCAACATACAGTGGAGAAATGAGAATCTGTAATAGCAAACATGTAATCAGTAGGATGGGGAACTACAAGAAACAAAGAGAATGCTAGTTCTGCCCCGGTTGTCCATTTCAGTTTAATAGACGCTGGCCCTTGTAACACAAGAGGTGTGTTACATTCTGGTTACATATGAGTCTGCATGTAACACTGGTTATAAAACACATCCGTCTGGCCCGGCTCCCTCTCCCGGCATTCTTTGCTCCCTCCGTATCGACTCAGAGTCTCTCTCTTATAACGCCTTTATTTGTATGACCTACATCTCTCAATCCAGGTCAACAGCAACATGTGACACAACTCAGCGCCAACTATCTCCACAGCTGCCAGGAACATAATATACTTTAACTGCCCGTCCCTCTCTTCTATCTGTAAATTAGAGCATGAGCTCTACGGAGCTGCCAGGGACATAATAGATTTTATAATATATACCGAGCTATTGCTAGAATTGTATGTAAGAGAATAGGCTCTATAGAACACACTAAACTATAATGGATCGCTCTTCTCTGGAAAAACTATGAACATATTATACCACAACTGTCTGTTCTAAGTTTGTATGTAGAACATAAGCTCTAGCTGTTAAATCTATTAAAAAAACAGGCATGTAACAAAGTGTAATTGGTCGTCCTAAGTTATATCTGTATGTAGATCATAAGCTCTTTGGAGAACCATGCACATATTATACTGTAGTTGCTTGTCCTAAGTTATATCTGTATGTAGATCATAAGCTCTTTGGAGAACCATGCACATATTATACTGTAATTGCTTGTCCTAAGTTATATTTGTACATGGAGCATAAGTTAAAAAAAAAAAAATAACATATTATACTACAGTTGTCTGTTCTATGTTTTATCAGTATGTAGAACATAAACTCTTTTAACAAACAGGCATGTAATATACTGTAACTGCCCGTCCTAAGTTATATCTGTATGTAGATCATAAGCTCTTTGGAGAACCAAGCACATATTATACTGTAATTGCTTGTCCTAAGTTATATCTGTATGTAGATCATAAGCTCTTTGGAGAACCATGCACATATTATACTGTAATTACTTGCCCTAAGTTATATTTGTACATGGAGCATAAGTTAAAAAAAAATGAACATATTATACTACAGTTGTCTGTTCTATGTTTTATCAGTATGTAGAGCATAAGCTGTTTTAAAAAACAGGCATGTAATATACTGTAACTGCATATCCTATGTTTTACCTGTATGTAGATCAGAAGCTCTTTGGAGAACCAAGCACATGTTATACTGTAATTGCTTGTCCTAAGTTATATCTGTATGTAGATCATAAGCTCTTTGGAGAACCATGCACACATTATACTGTTTCTTGTCCTAAGTTATATCTGTATGTAGATCATATCTTTGGAGAACCATGCACATATTATACTGTATTTGCTTGCCCTAAGTTATATCTGTATGGAGATCATAAGCTCTTTGGAGAACCATGCACATATTATACTGTAATTGCTTGTCCTAAGTTATATTTGTACGTGGAGCATAAGTTAAAAAAAACATGAACATATTATACTACAGTTGTCTGTTCTATGTTTTATCAGTATGTAGAACATAAACTCTTTTAAAAAACAGGTATGTAATATACTGTAACTGCCCGTCCTAAGTTATATCTGTATGTAGATCATAACCTCTTTCAAGAACCAAGCACATATTATACTGTAATTGCATGTCCTAAGTTATATTTGTATGTGGAGCATAAGCTCTTTAAAAAACCATGCACATATTGTACTGTAACTGCTTATCCTATGTTATATCTGTATGTAGATTATAAGCTCTTTGGAGAACCATGCACATATTATACTGTAGTTGCTTGTCCTAAGTTATATCTGTATGTAGATCATATCTTTTGGAGAACCATGCACATATTATATTATAATTGCTTGTCCTAAGTTATATCTGTATGTAGATCATAAGCTCTTTGAAAAACCAAGCACATATTATACTGTAATTGCTTGTCCTAAGTTATATTTGTACGTGGAGCATAAGTAAAAAAAAAATGAACATATTATACTACAGTTGTCTGTTCTAAGTTTTATCTGTATGTAGAACATAAACTCTTTTAAAAAACAGGCATGTAATATACTTTAACTGCGTATCCTATGTTATATCTGTATGTAGATCAGAAGCTCTTTGTATAACCATGCACATATTATACTGTAATTGCTTGTCCTAAGTTATATCTGTATGTGGAGCATAAGTTAAAAAAAAACATGAACATATTATACTACAGTTGTCTGTTCTAAGTTATATCTGTATGTAGAGCATAAACGCTTTAAAAAAAACAGGCATATCTGTATATTTAAAAAATGCCCCCAGCCAAGTGTACAATGTATATCTGATATATCTGTATATTGGCATATAAGCTTTACAGTCCACTGCAATGTTCCTTTATTGTATCTCTGTATTCATGCATAAGCCCTACAGTTCACTGTACAATAAGCCTCTGATATATATATATATATATATATATATATACATATGTACATACTATATTGCCAAAAGTATTTGGATGCCTTCCTTTACACGCACATGAACTTTAATGGCATCCCAGTCTTACTCCGTAGGGTTCAATATTGAGTTGGCCCCGCCCTTTGCAGCTATAACAGCTTCAACTCTTCTGGGAAGGCTGTCCACAAGGTTTAGGAGGGTGTCTATGGGAAGGTTGGACCATTCTTCCAGTAGAGCATTTGTGAGGTCAGGCACTGATGTTGGATGAGAAGGCCTGGCTCGCAGTCTCCGCTCTAATTCATCCCAAAGGTGTTCTATTGGGTTGAGGTCAGGACTGTGTTGAGGTCAGGACTGTGTTTGGGCCAGTTAAGTTCCTCCACCACAAACTCGCTCATCCATGTCTTTATGGACCTTGCTTTGTGTACTGGAGTGCAGTCATGTAGGAACAGGAAGGGGCGATCCCCAAACTTCTCACAAAGTTGGGAGCATGAAATTGTCCAAAATGCTGACGTCTTAAGAGTTCCCTTCACTGGAACTAGGGGGCCAAGCCCAACCCCTGAAAAACAAACCCCACACCAGAATCCCCCCTCCACCAAACTTTACACTTGGCACAATGCAGTCAGGCAAGTACCGTTCTCCTGGCAACTGCCAAACCCAGACATGTCCATCAGATTTCCAGAGAGAGAAATGTGATTCATCACTCCAGAGAACATGTCTCCACTACTCTAAAGTCCAATGGCAGCATGCTTTACACCACTGCATCCGACGCTTTGCATTGCACTTGGTGATATAAGGCTTGGAAGTTTCTCGGCCATGGAAACCCATTCCATGAAGCTCTCTATGCAATGTTGTTGTGCTAATCTGAAGGCCACATGAAGTTTGGAGGTCTTTAACTATTGACTCTGCAGACAGTCCTACGCACTGTGCGCTTCAGTATGTGCTGACCCCGCTCTGTCATTTTACGTGGCCTACCACTTGGTGGCTGAGTTGCTGTTGTTCCCAGTTGCTTCCACTTTGTTACAATACCACTAACAGTTGACCGTGGAATATTTAGTAGTAATGAAAGTTCACAGATGGACTTATTGCACAGGTGGCAACCTATCACAGTACCACACTTGAAATCACTGAGCTCCTGAGAGCGACCCATTCTTTCACAAATGTTTGTAGAAGCCGTCTGCATGCCTAAGTACTTTATTTTATACACCTGTGGCCATGGAGGTGATTGGAACACCTGAATCCAATGATTTGGAGGGGTGTCCCAATACTTTTGGCAATATAGTGTATGTATATATATTATTATTATTATTATACAGTATTTATATAGCGCCAAAAGTAAATCAGCGATGTACATTATAATGGGAGACAGTACACGAGACAGTACAGTAACAATACAATGCGATTCATGAGGGGTTCGAGGGCCCTGCTCCTTGGAGCTTACAATCTAGGAGGGAGGGGAGAGTGGTACAGGAGGAAATAGCTGTGGGGGATGGAGTGGTGGGAAGAGCGGAGGAGATCAGCAATTAGGTGAGGACTGGGTAGACTTCTCTGAAGAGATGGGTTTTCAGGGTGCGCCTAAAGGTGAGGAGGAAAGGTGACAGTCTGACGGATTGGGGTAGTGAGTTCCAGAGGATGGGGAGGCCCTGGAGAAGTCCTGGAGACGGGCATCGGAGGAGGAGACCAGGGAACTGGAGAGTAGGAGGTCTTGTGAGGAGCGCAGAGTGCATTTTGGGTGGTAGATGGATATCAGGTCGGTGATGTAGTTTGGGGCAGTGTTATGGATAGCTTTATATATATATATATACACACAGTTAGATCCATATATATTTGGACACAGGCACAATTGTTTATTTCCAGTATTTACCAAAACATATTCAAGCTATAGTTATATAATGGATATGAGCTGAAAGGTTTAGGAATTACAGCTCTTAAGAGTAGACATCCCTCCTTTTTCAAGGAACCCAAATTAATTGAACAATTGAATCAAAAGCTGTTTCATGGTCAGGTGTGGGGTACTCCTTCGTTATTTCTTCATCAATTAAGCAGGTAAAAGGTCTATAGCTTATCCTAAGTGTGGTATTTGCATTTGGAATCTATTGCTGTGAACTTACATCATGCGTTCAAAGGAGCTTTCCATGCAAGTGAAACAGGTCATTGTAAGGCTTCAAAAACAAGACAAATCCATCAGAGAGATCGCAGCAACATTAGGAGTGGCCAAATCAACAGTTTGGTACATTCTGAGGAAAGAAGAACACACTGGTGAGGTCAGCAACATAAAAAGGCATGGACGTCCACGGAAGAAAACAGTGGTGGATGACTGCTGGATCCTCTCTTTGGTAAAGAAAAATCCATTCACAACATCCAGACAAGTGAAGGACACTCTCCAGGAGGTGGGGGTATCATTGTTAAAGTCTACAATCAAGAGAAGACTTCATGAGAGCAAATACAAAGGATTCACCACAAGGTGCAAACCATTCATAACCCTGAGGAATAGAAAAGCCAGATGAGACTTTGCCAAAAAAACATTTAAAAAAGCCAGACCAGTTCTGGAAAAGCATTCTTTGGACGGATGAAACTAAGATTATTCTGTACCAGAATGACGGGAAGAAAAAATTGTGGAGAAGGCTTGGAACAGCTCATGATCCAAAGCACAAGTCATGTGTAAAACATTGTGGAGGTGGTGTGATGGCATGGGCATGCATGGCTTCCAGTGGCACCGGGTCATTGGTGTTTATTGATGATGTGACAAAAGACAGAAGCAGCCGGATGAATTCTGCAGTGTTTAGAGATATACTGTCAGCCCAGATTCAGCCAAATGCAGCAACGCTGCACAGTACAGATGGACAATGATCCAAAACACACTGCAAAAGCAACCCAGGAATGAGGAAGGAAAAGAAGTGGAATATTCTGCAATGACTAAGTCAATCACCTCAGCCCAATTGAGCATGAATTTCACTTGCTGAAGGCAAAACTAAAGGCAGAAAGACCCACAAACAAAGAACAACTGAAGACAGCTACAGTTAGAGCCTGGCAAAGCATCAGAAAGGAGGAAACCCAGTCTTTGGTCATGTCCATGGGTTCCAGACTTCAGGCAAAGCATCAGAAAGGAGGAAACCCAGTCTTTGGTAATGTCCATGGGTTCCAGACTTCAGGCAGTCATTGCCAGTAAAGGATTCTCAACAAAATATTAAAAAGTAATATTTTATTTATGATTATATTCATTTGTCCAATTACATTTCAGCCCCTGAAAATGAAGGGAGTATGTATAAAAATGGTTGCAGTTCCTAAAATTTCTACTTGATATTCATGTTCAACCCCTTGAATTAAAGCTGAAAATCTGCACTTCAAATTCATTTGGATTGTTTCATTTTAATTTATACTGGTGGCATAGAGAGGCAAAGTATGAAAATTTTGCCTGTGTCCAAATATATACGGACCTAACCGACTGAGTGTGTGTATATATTTTATTTATATATACATAGATATATACACACAGTATATGCAGTTCTGTGTGGAGAATCTGTTCTTTCTCATACTAGTATCCTACTAGTCTCAGGATTGTCTTTTAGTGATGCAAAGAGAATATTATACTGTTGCATATTTATTGAACTAATTAGCATTTTTACAGATTAAATAATGCCACTCCCTCTAGAAGAAAGGATTTAGTGAATGATGACTGAATGAGGTCTGTGGTGCCAATACAGACAGACACTAAAGTTCACATTCATGAGTCGTAATGCAATGGCTCCACTGCATTGCTAAGTCTAGGTCAGGGCAATTTGAGGAGCTCTCAGGATGCGTCAGGATCAGGGGCGGACTAACAACTCATGGGGCCCCCAGGCAATAGGGGATCATGGGGCCCCTGTGTCCTCGCCCACACCCAAAAAAGCCTATGAAACAGCCAATGAAAGGTACCAGGGGCATCTCATGGGGCCCCCTACTGACCCCGGGCCCTCGGGCAGTGCCAGAGTGCTCGAATGGTCAGTCCGCCCCTGGTCAGGATATTATGTTGGGTACTCTATTTGGTAGGACCATCTTTCCTTTGGAGTCAAATATCTTTGCCAATTTTTCTCCACATTTCTCCCTTTTTTTTTTGTTGTAGCATTTTCTTTTTCCCAACTGATCCCAGAAACATCATGGAATTTAGTTGTTACGAGAGGCACAGCATTTTTCTAATGAGTATAATGACATACAGTACATACGGATCAGCCATAACATTATGACCATTGACAAGTAAAGTGTAAAACATTGATTATCTCGGGTGGGATATATTAAGCAGCAAGTGAAAATGTTGTCCCTGAAGTTGATGTGTTGAAAACAGAAAAAAATGGCAACCGCAACAACCTGAGCGACTTTGACAAGGGCCAAATTGTAATGGGCTTGATGACTGGGTAAGAGCAACTCTAAGCCCTGGATCACATATCCGCTTTCCTGCGGGCCGCTTTTTCCACGGGCATGAGAGCCCATTCATTTGAATGGACTCCCGTGTCCCGGGACATGCAGGGAAGAAGTCCCTGCACTTCTTTGGAAACCGCAGCCCACACAGGAACAGGAGTTCCCAGTGTGGTTGCGATTTCCAGTGCGGGCGGCGTGCCATTAGAATTAAAGGCACCCGCCCGCGGGTGGTGCGGGTGGTGCAGCTGCACAGATTTTTGTGCGGATCCGCAGCGGCACCACCCGCACAGATGTGAACCTAGCCTAAAAAACTGCAGCTCTTGTGGAATGTTCCTGGTCTGCAATGGTCAGGAAAGACCAAAAATGATCCAAGGAAGGAAAAGCAACAGTGACAGGGTCATGGGCGGCCAAGGCTCACTGATGCACATGGACAGCGAAGGCTGGCTCAGGTAGTCCAATCCAATAGAAGAGCTACTGTAACTCAAAAGAGTGAAAAAGTTAATACTGGTTCTAAAAGAAAGGTGTCAGAACACACAGTGCATTGCAGTTTGTTGTGTATGTGGCTGTGCAGCACAGACTGGTCAAGGTACCCATGCTGACCCGTGCCCACAGCCAAAAACACCTACAATGGGCATGTGAGCATCAGAACTGGAACACGAAGCAATGGAAGAAGGTGGCCTGGTCTGATGAATCACATTTTCTTTTACGTCGTGTGTGGCCTGTGTTGCTTACCTGGGGACGAGATGATACCAGGATGCAGTATGGGAAGAAGGCAAGCAGGCAGAGGCAGCGTGATGCTTTGTCTGGTGGAGTCCATGCCTGAACAGGTCAGGGCTGTTTTGGTGGCAAAAGGGAGACCTATTCAATATTAGGTGGATGGTCATAATAATCGTATGGTGGGTGGTTAGAATGTTATGACTGATGGGTGTATACCAGGGGCGGACTGACAATTCATGGGGCCCTCGGGCAATAGGGGATCATGGGGCCCCTGTGTCCTTGCCCAAACTGAAAAGCCTATGAAAAAGGTACCAGGGGCATCTCATGGGGCCCCCTACTGACCCCGGGCCCTCGGGCAGTGCCCAAGTTTCCAAATGGTCAATCCGCCCCAGGTGTATACAGTATATTTGTAGTATCCATTTTTTTACCAACTGTTGTAGGTGTCTGAAGGGGCTTGTGCAGAAGGTGTGTACCAGAGCCTTGCCAGCCTTTAGCTCTGAAAAGACTGATGATTAAGGTATGTACATTTTGGTATAACACCTTGTGTGCACCTTGTGTGTTCCTTTTTAGAGTTTTTAAGTGTAAGCTCTAAGATAATTAGAAAAAGGGCTCTGGTGGGAAATAGCTAATCCAAAGTATTAGTGTTGGGTTTGCAAGTTTGAAGATTAGTGTTAGGGTTACAGTTAGGTTTAGTACTAAGGATACAGGAAGGGAAAGTGTGAGAGTTACTATTAGGGAGGGGGGGTAAAGGTTCAAGGTTAGAGTTACACGGAGGGTTAGTGTTAAGGGTAAGATTACACGGAGGGTTAGTGTTAAGGGTAAGATTACACGGAGGGTTAGTGTTAAGGGTAAGATTACAGGGAGGGTTAGTGTTAAGGTAAGATTACAGGGAGGGTTAGTGTTAAGGGTAAGATTACACGGAGGGTTAGTGTTAAGGGTAAGATTACACGGAGGGTTAGTGTTAAGGGTAAGATTACACGGAGGGTTAGTGTTAAGGGTAAGATTACACAGAGGGTTAGTGTTAAGGGTAAGATTACAGGGAGGGTTAGTGTTAAGGGTAAGATTACACGG